TATATAATATATATAAATATAATATATATATATATAATATATAAAATAAAAAATTTTATTTATTTTATTATCACCCCGGGCCGATTCCCACCAAGGCAGGGTGGCCAAAAAAAAAAATTTCCCCATCATTCCCCCCATAAATGTCTTGCCAGAAGGGTCTTACACAAGTTTTTAAACTGCAAACATTAACACCCCCCCTTTAAAGGGCAGGCACTTATTTTCCCACCCCAGGACTCAAGCCCGGGCCTGCCTTTTTCCCTAAACCCCTTCATAAATGTTACTTTGTCACATCCAACAGCACGTCAAGTTTTTAAAAACCATTTGTCCCATTCACCCTATCAAACACGCCCGAAACCTGCTGGAATCCAAGCCCCCCAACAAAACCTCCTTTACCCCCTCCCTCCAACCCTTCCTAGGCCGCCCCTACCCCCCTTCCTTCCACTACAGACTGAACACTCTTGAATCATTTTTTCGCCCCATTCTCTCTACATGCCGAACCCTCCAACCCTTCCTCAGCCCTCTGGACAACGTTTTGGAACCCCGCACCTCCTCCTAACTTCCAAACTACAAATTTCTCTGCATTATATTCACACCACACATTGCCCCTCAGACATGACATCTCCACTGCCCCCAGCCTTCTCCTCGCGCAACATTCATCACCCACGTTCACAACCCAAAAAGGGTTGGAAAAACATACTCCATAATTCCCCTCTTTGCCCCCAAAGGGACAAAGTTCTTGTCTCCACAACTCCTAATGCACCATCACTTTTTCCCTCATCAATTCAATGATTCCCCTCATTTTTCATGACCCACCGCGAAACGCCCACCCCCAAAAAATTCAAATACTTTTCACCCCCCCAAATTTCTCCCCTCCAATCTGATTTAATTTTTTCACACCTAATCTTTTTGTTATCCCTCAAAACCCTTTTACTTTTTCCTGAAATCACCTTTAATTTTCTTTTTTTCACACCCAAAACCAAAATTTCATCCACCAAAATCTCTGCAACTTCTCTTCAGAAATCCCAAGAGCAAAGTGTCATCGGCCAAAAACAGCTGTGACAACTCCCCTTTGTGTTGATTTTTTTCTTTTAACTCCCCGCCTCTTGCCAAGACCCTCGCATTTTTCTTCTCTTTCAACCCCCTCATAAATATATTAACAAACCCCGGGGACATCACCATCCTTGTCTAAGGCCTACTTTTACTGGGAAAAAAAATTTTCCCCTTTCCTACATACTCAACTTTAGCCCATTCCTCGTAAAAACTCTTCACGCTTCAGTAAAACCCACCCCACAACCCTACACTTGCAACATCTGCCACATTGCCCCCCCATCCACCCTGCATACGCCTTTTCCAAAACCATAAAAAGCCACAAAGACCTCTTTTTCCTTTTCTAAAACTGTTCACTTATATGTTTTACGTAAACACCCGGGCCACACACCCCCTACCTTTCCTAAAGCCTCCTTTTCATCGCACCATTTTTTCCGTCTTCTCTAAAAACTTTCAATTTTAACTCTACCATACACTTTAAAACCCGGGACACCAAAAGATTTTCCCCCTATAATTTTTTTTCACTCTCTTTTATCCCCTTTTGCCTTATACAAAGGAACTATGCTGCCTCTGCCCCCCCTAGGTACCTTTCCCCTTCCAACATTTATTAAAAAATTGCACCAAACCCCCCAAAACTAATCCCCACCTGCTTTTAACATTTTTTATCTTTATCCCATCAAACCCGGCGCCTTTCCCCCTTTTTATTTTACCTACTGCCCCGAACTTCCCCCACACTCACAACTGGGCCTTCCTCACCCTACAAGATGTTATTCCTCCTTGCCCTATACACAAATCACAGCTTCCCCTTTTTCATCAACTTTAACAATTTCCTCAAAATATTCCCTTTCCCTCTTCCCCTACCTCTACCCCCATTTAATAACCTCCCTCCCCATTTTTAACTGACAAATCCATTTTTTCTTAGGCTTTCTTTCTTTTAACCACCCAAAATTTTTCTTATTTTCAACAAATTTTTTGGGAAACAACCACCCACCTCCTCTTTCTCTCTTTTTAACATTGCTTACCCCTCCCCTTAATTCTCTCTTTTCCCATAACTCTTCCCTCCTTTCAAACACTTCTACTTTGTAAAAAATTCTCTATCTAACTTTTTTTTCCCTTACTACCTTTTACATCATCTTTCCCCCCAATCGCTCCTCTTCCCTCCGCCCCCTTTCCTGTAACCCAAAATTTTGCTGAACCTCTAACACTACTTTTTAAACCTACCCCATACCTCTTCGACCCCATTTTCCCCCTTCATTAGCCCCTATCCTCCAAAAATGTTTTTATCTCCCTAAACTGCCTCCTTTTTAGTTTATAAATTTACCTCTCTTTCCCTATGTTCTATTTTCCTTGTACCCATCTACCTTTTACTCTCAGTTAGCTACAACAGAAAGTGACTGATAATCTGGCCCCTCTATAAACAGTACATCCTGAAGTCTACTCAAAAGTCTTTTATCTACCCCAAAAATAATCCAACAAAACTACTGTCATTTCGCCCTAATCATATGGATACTTTTTTATCCTCTTTTTTTTTAAAAATGTATTACCTAAACTAAACCCCTTTTTATACAAATTTTTAATCAAAAGGGGCCCCCTTATCATTAACCTGGCACCCCAAATTTTCCAAACCCCACCCCCTTTTAAAAATTTTCTCCTACTTTACATTTCAATTACCCCAATTAAATCCTCACTTGGTTCAAAGGCCCCTATCATTCATTAACTCTCCCAAAACTTCCTCTCCTCGGGATTCCTCTCTTTCCAGGTCATACCCTATTTGACCCCCTTCTCGCCCAACCTTTCTTTTAAACCACATAATTCTTGAATTACACATTTATATTCTCTTTTCTCCTTTTCCCTAACTATCTTTACTTACTGCACCCCTTTCCTTTCTCTAACTCCTCAGATACTCCCGATTTAATCCCTTATTTCCCCCCCCCGAAACTCTCCTACCCCCCTTTAGCTTTTTTTCGCAGGCCAGGACATCCCTTCTTTTTATTCATAACAACAGCAATCATCTGTTCTTGTCATCCGCACTACATCCCGCCATTTAAGCAACCCTTTTTTAAAGTTTTTCTTCTTCTCTTTTTTTAGGGTTTTTCAGAGAAGGGGGTTCGCCCTTTTCTTCCCCGGGATTTTAGTCGCCTCAACGACACGCATGGGTTACGGGGAAAAATTTTTTTCCCCTTCCCCCTGACAATAAAGAAATAAAAAAAGAACAAGACATTTAAAAAAGGGGAAAAACCTAGAGTTGTATAAATAATCAGTGGTGCTGTGAAGTGGGACCAAGTGTAGTAGGGGTAGCAAGATATCCCCTTTTTCTTAGCGGTTTATGAAACAGAAAAAGAAAACCCAGCAATCCTACTCATGCAAACCGTACGGGTTTTTGTTTCACAGTCAATCTGCAGGACGGTAGTACTTCCCTGGGTGGTTGCTGTCTCCCAACCCTACTACCTTAAAATCACAGTGAACAGTGATATCACAATAGCAGAGGAACACGGTGAAAAAAAAACGAAATTCCAAGCAATTGTACTTCCCCACATTATAAAGGGAAAAATATAGTTCCTTGATAATGTGAAATCACGAATTGCGCTTGGAATTTCGTTTTTTTTTTTTCACAGGGGTTTGTTCTGCATATTTGTGATATCACCTATACTGGATTTATTGATATATAATATTATATATATATATATATATATATATATATATATATATATATTATATATATATTATATTATATATATATATATATATTTAAAATATATATATATTATTATATATATATATAATATATATATATATAATATATATATATATATATATATATATATATATATAATATATTATATTATAAATATATATTATTATATATATATATATTATATATATATATATTTAATAATTTTATATATATATATTATATCACTAATGCTACCTCTAGCAGGATGAGATACAAAAAACATTTTTTTATGTATATTAGTAATTTATGCAGGAGAAAAAGTAAAATTCACAATATCTTAGCTGGAACAATTAAGAAAATATCCATGCATTGGAGTGGAAAGTTAAGACGTTTCGATTCCGTTCTGTACCATTATTAGGTCAGTTTGGTCGAGATCTGTTGCAAAATATTTCCATATTGGAAGTTGGTAGCAGGCTGGTTAACGACAACCATCGAGGGAGGTAGTACCATTCTAGGTGAGAAATGGAAGCCTATTAAATGTTTTGCACTCTGGCAGGATTGCTAGTATATCTCATGAACAGATAAGGCAGCACATAAATCTAGCCAAAACTTTTTTACACTTCACTTTTTCTATATTCTTCAATGTTTTCCATTCCTATAATATTAATTCACAACAATTTAGGAGGCCTTCTCTTGATACCCAAGCTGCAGGGACCTTGTTCCTCGGACCCATAGCAAATACACACAATAAATTACATATACCACTGGTACATTTTAATTTATTTGCCCTGGCACTGTGTTGTGTCCAAACATATACAGTAGGATCCTGGCTGGAGTAAACTGGAGTAACACACTGAGTTGTGAACAAGGCACTTGTGGAATACTGGAAATGATATGATGATACCGTCAAGTCGTGGGTAGAAGGCACCTGTGCACTGATCAACACATTTATCAAGGAGACGTTCGGGCAAGTGTGGCCCGAAGAATTATGAACGAGGAAGCCTTTCCTGGTGATCGTTTTGGTCAGTGCGTAGGTGTATTTCACCTACGCACTTGTGGAACAAGGTGTGTGCATTGTTAGCACGATATATTGAGAATTTTTTTAATTATACGCACCAACAGTCCTGCTGTACCCTGATACACACTAACGGTTTTCTGTACCCATGTTACACCAGCAACGTTTCTGTATCCTGACACACTAACAGCCTTCTGTACCCTGATACAAACAACCCTCCTGTACCCTGATACACACTAACAGCCTTCGTGTCGTGCCTTGCAGTACATTGACGGTGTCTTCAGTGGCTGAGGAACACGCCGGCAACTACACTTGTAGCCCCGCCAATGCTAGTCCCTCCTCCGTCCTCGTTCACGTCGTTGTTGGTAAGTTACTGCCCAATTACCTATTTTTCATCACCTATTTGTAGCTATAGGAGCACAGTATGCTCGTGGTGTTCTGTCATCAATAATTTGTTCATCATATTTTTTTTTTAAGTTATAGCAAATCATTCTTTAAAATTATTTTATTAGTAGGAACAGAGAGGATTTTTTTTTCCTTAGTATCCATTTTTCTCCATTTTTCCTCAATTTAAAACGGCTTCTCATTGTTATCCCTGATGCAGGTACTTTAGAAATATTTATCTATTTTTTCATGGATCTTTTATGATTATTTTTTTTTCAATTTTCCTATCAAGCAGTGTGGCTATCTTCGGTATTTTCAATCTTTTCTTCTAATTCATTAACTTGCGTAGCAATTAAGAGTATTTCATAAATCGCCAGTGTAGCGTTGTGAAGTTTTTCACAACTTCGGCGGAGTGGTTTTCCGGTCACAATATTATATTAGAAATAACTCTTAAGAGCCTTTTCCCTGATATTTCCCGTATTTTGTTACATTGTATTCATGTGGCCTGATTTCTTTTTCCTTCGTCTGCAATGTATGGCATTTATCTACGTTAAATTTCATCGTCTATCTCTCGTTCCAATTGTTTTATTGTTTTTACATAAGGTCCTATTTTTTTTTTTTTTTTTTTTTTGCATCTTCCCCAAGTCTTAGTTTATTTCTTCTGGTATAGTATTTATGTAAATTAAAATACTGTACTCACCTAGTTGTGGTTGCAGGGGTCGTGTCACCGTGTGTGTGTGTGTGTGTGTGTGTGTGTGTGTGTGTTTATAAGCTATAGAAAATAAATGTTTTGATTCTGGTTAGAGTAGGTTGAAGGTCACGATCAGTTTCCAGTATCAGAGGTCAAGGCCACGAACAAAGGTCACAAATCTAGGTCATAGACCAGGGTCACACAGGCCAAAGATTTTGGTCGCAAAGGTCACCCAGGCCACGGTTCTAGGTCGCAGGCTAAGGTCATCCAAGCCACAGTTTTAGGTCATAGCCCAAGGTCACACAGGTCAAAGATCTAGGTCGCAAACCTAGATCTGTGGCCACAGATCTAGGTCATAGCCGAAGGTAACAGATTACAGCAGCAATAGGTCAAGGCCAAATAATCAAGCATACAATTCAAGATCAAGAGACCAAAGTCTCAGATTACGGGTCACAGATGAAGGTCAAGATCCTAGATTAAGGCCAGAAGTCAAGGTTATATGTAAAGGTAGTTTCTCAAAGTCGTTTGTTAGGGTCATATGCCAGGGTCATATGCTAGGGTCATATGCCAGGGTCATATGCCAGGGTCATATGCCAGGGTCATATGTCGGGTCTATGCCAGGGTCATATGTCAGGGTCATATGTCAGGGTCATATGTCAGGGTCATATGTCAGGGTCATATGTCAGGTTTTTATTCAGTCAACACCCGTCTCTCCTCTGTCCAAATTTTTTTCCCTTTTTTCTCACCCTTTCCCTGCAATCCTTTCCCACCCTTTAATTTCTTTTTTTGTCTCTTCGATTTTCGGGACGTCTGAGAATTGTCCCTTTCCCCGAATTATCAGCTGCCTCGCTGTGCCCCTTATCTCTCATACAAATCACTTATCCTTCGAGGGACGAGTTTCTCTTCCATGTTCTTCCCTGGTCTCCCAAATGATCCCAACGCATTTTTCCCTTTTTAAATTTGATTT